GTAGACTGTGCTGTGTCAAACGCGAGTATCGAAACCCACTCTTAGCGCCATAAGCCCTCAGATTTACTGCTTATAAAGAAGTAGAAAAACTTATCAATATTTAAAGTTTTATTTACAATTAAAATTGATAATATTTTCAACAGATATGGATAAATTATTGTATTTATGACTGATAATGTATATTTTTAAAAGGAATATTAATATTTTAAGCTTCTAATTAAACCTTAGGGTGTACAAGAGTTGTATGAGGATGATAATATAATTATCTCTCCATTAAATATCAATCTGCATTTTAGATAGAAAGAAGAAAGGAATTAACGAGTGAAGCACATATTTTAAAGAACAGTCTATTAAGATGTATCTCTGTAAACAGCTGAATACATCTTTATACTTTAATATTTTTACAGTTACAGTGAATAAAATACATTAAATGTTTTAAGTAAACTAACCCTTGTAATAAACAATGATAGTACACAAACATTATTATTACGAATATGTGTATACATAGGTTTTGAAAGTTTGACATTCTTTTACAAAGTAAATATAAAAAATAATTATAAATACTCTAAAGATCTTTAAGTTCGGCATTAAAATGTTCCCAAACTCAAGATTCTTTTTTATTAAAACAATAAACGTTGGTGGGGTCACAGTTGTTACGCTACATGAAAATTTCAATATGTTCGATGAAAACAAAATTTCTTATGCTCAAAAATGAGCTTTAAAAAAAACTAAATGCATGCTTCTTATGTTTAATTATTGAAAATTAAGTTACAAGCATTTTCGAAATGGTTTTTTAATTCACTTTCTCCGTAACAACTTGTTTAAAACTGTTAAAACTTGGCTATCATTTTACATCATTAACAAGACAGTCAAAAAAGGAAAATTAAAAATCGTATCACCAATTTAGCATTATTTTTTCTTTATCAATAATTGTTGAGAATGTTTTAGGTACTTCCTACCTCGATAGCGCGTATACATAAGGCATGGCCACGATACTCGAGGTGACTAGGAGATGACGCATATAAAACGCGCTGCCTTTTTCTAAATAGCATTGTCTGGCCAATCGTCACATTTTGTAACAATATCATCATAACAAAAGCATATTTTACAAAGCTAAAACAACATGAAAAGGCAATGTTATCCTACACCAAAACTCCCTACTAAAATATCTAAATGATATTGCTTAACTTAAAACGTTCACGCAAACAAGAAATAAAACATAAATGCAGTAACTGAATTTCAAGAATATTTTTTACTTCAAACACTGGCCATAATTTGTTTAAATCCTTTGACAGTAGACTCTGGATTGGTCTCTATACTGACCAGTATGCAGGTGGTAAATCCTTTGAAAGTAGACTCTGCATTGGTGTCGATAGGGACCATTATGCGGGGGGGGGGGGAAGCTACTATAAAATTAGTACTAAAGAAAGTATTACAAAGACAACTGAATCCAACTTGAATCTGTCTCAGAGAAAGACGTAGGAAATTAAAGAAGGCAACATTCGCGGGCAATATGTCTCCACCACGCAATCTCAACATGGCCAATTGGGACACCAGAAAAATCAAAAACTGTCTATATCACTGCTTGGGGCCTGCACGAAGGCATTTTAGTAACATATCCCATGTAAGTTGGTTGAAATACGCGTGAATAATTCATAAAAACTCCAAATTGTGTTTTCCTCGCTGAAAAATTGATCAAAAGACAAAAATTCCAAACTGTCTACATCTCTGTTTGGGACCTACAAAAAGTACCTTTGTATCAAATCCCATGTAAATTGGCCAAAAAATGGCGGAGTAATTATAAAAAACAACAACCTAAAACTATTAATGGCTGGAGACGGCTTGAATGGGTAATGAAGAAAAACTTTAATATAACAGCAAATGTACAACGTTTCGACAAGGTTTTGTCATCATCAGGTACAAAACCTTGTCGAAACGTTGTACATT